TCAGAAAGAGGAAATTTTCGAAACTTAACCAAATCCAAGAATGGTTTACCTATCTTGTAGAGCTCGTTCATATGATCCTAAAGGCGAAAACGGCGCAAGAATTGGAGTTGTAGAATGAAAGTTATGGTAGAAAGAAGTTCGAAGGAGAAAGAAGGGAGAGAATGGGTTTCTGGAAAGAGACTCGTGAAGCAGGAACTGAAGGAATGGGTTCTCACGTTTCCAGCTAAAAACCATCCTTTCCCCCTTTCTTTGTTCTTTGGAACCACCAACTACATGGGGAAAGAAGATATCAAAAATTCAGCCGAATTCCTAAAAATTCTCCGAAAAATACTACAAACTCATAAGCACCGTAATGAATTAAGAGCAAATTGACAATAGTTTTTAAGCACCATAAAATTTCCAAGGTCTCACAAACATGATGAACCTAATAATGAATGAAGAGCAAATTGACAATAACTGAGAAAGAAGAAGAAGCAAGTAACAAGCAAATAAATGTACCTTGTAGGCCCATTCGGAGGATCTTAAAGCCCCTTATTTCAAGAGCAATCTCTCTTGCATCAATTTCTCCCATGCCACTCATTTCTACAATGGAATATTCTTTTACTAATTTTACTTTTGTCTCAATTTTTATTTTCCCTTTCTTTCTCCATCTCCTTCCACTAAAACTTGAAAACTGGCTCCCGAGTTCTAAAATGATAACCATTACAAAAGGAAGAACCTATATACATGAGCAATATTTACGTTTTGTAATAGGAAAGAAATTTGGGGAGGCTTATATATAAATTTGGGCAATAAAGCCGATGATGGGATTAAATAAGTTTGTTTAGTTACAGACAAGTCATTCACATGTTAAGTTTGTTTAGCTACAGACAAATCGTTCATATGTTTCATTTGAATTTACAAAGACCACACATATAACTGTTACGAAATTAATAAAAAGATAATTGAAACAACTTATCAATTTTCATGTCATTTCACGTGATGAAATATTCTAAATTTGATTTTTAGCATGTACTTCCCGGTGCATCAAGAGACTTTCAAATAAGTTTAGCTAGATAAAGAATTTTTATAAAATACCTATAAGTCCATTGTTTTAAAGAGACTAATTTAGGCCACAAACCGATGATTATATTGAAGTATTTGCCAAACTAAAAACAAATCCTTAACTAATTTTGCGTGAATACACAAAGAAAATGAATGTTTACAATTTTTTTAAACTCTAATTGAACACTATACATCACGTTCTTAATATCTTTAAGATTTCATGTCATAGAATATTCTGCATTAAACTTTTTTTAAACAAGAAATCTTACAAATTGATTACAAAATTCATGCGTCAGGTGTTAGGCGCCCAGAATTTTGTTCCTGACTCACCAGTGGAACAATGGTAAGGGGAAATCTGAGAAGATAAGCAAAATGTCATATAAATTGGAAGTTCTGTTTCAGAGACTGAAAATACACGATTCCATCTCACCCATTGGTGTTGTCATTATTGTTAAATGATTTCTATTAAAAATAATAATTGTAAAATAATGAAATTTTTTAATATGATTAAACAAAGGTAATTTGCATGTTCCTAAGCATTCCAAAGAAAAATGATCGTAATCATATTGGTGTGACTTAATTTCCTCATTTGCTATAGGGAATTGTTGGCGCATGAGTTGGCATTTCCGTATTGATTAATTGTAAAATTTGTTTCATTTTCTATTTCTGATTTCCTACTGTAAATAGAATTAAGAGTTATAATTTTACTTAAACTCCAACGTTACTTGGCCTTCAAGGGAGAAGAATACACAAAAAATTCCCACAATTGTTTCCCTTATTTTAGCATGGTATCAAAGTAACGATCTTGTGACTGTTGTCTAACTAGCTAGTATAGTTCATGCAACCCATGATTTTAATACAGACAAAATCACCGGTGCGAATAAAAGAAAAAATCAGTAAGAAATCAAATGCACAAGAACTGAACAGTAGAATACCTTCCCTCTTATTTCTCTCCCTTTTTTCTTTCAAAGCTTCTCTTTTCTATACTAGTAACAATAACATCAAAACCAAAAATATTGCAACAGCAAAACAAAAATCACAGAATCGTTGTGAGATATGAGAACGTATACACCCACACTGAATTAATTGTTTTTGAGTAGTGGCGAAGACCACATTTTTGTACCTCATTTCAATACTAAATGATGGATACAGGGAGAGTTTAACTCTTGCACTCCTTCTCCCTCCCAAAGGAAAAATAAAAAACACTAAAATTCTGACTGAAAGGCAGGACAGCAAAGATGTGTGCATGCCTAGCTATATAGCATGTGCATTTATTTTTTTAGAAAATTCGGTATAAGTTCAAAATCGAGAATAGAAGTCAGATGTAATTCTTGTATTTGTTGTTGTTGATACAAGTCCTTTGATTTTTGTACCCGTATGATTATATTCCATTTTTTTTTTTAATATTTACATATTATTTTTTTCATTGTTAAATTACTCTGTTATTCCCATCATGCCCCTAAAATTAAATAAGGTAAGAAATTAATTGTTGTCATAATAATTATGATATTGTTTTCCTAAGTATACTTGTCATTGAGCATGTGTCTGATGATGTCCACTAGGCTTTTATGATGAAACACATAATTTAGTTATTATTCAACTCCAATTAGTCTTGGTTTAAGTTTAGTTTATCCCATGATCTTTAAGGGAACCAAGCCACGCCTTGATGGTCAACGGATCCAAAGCTTTGTTTAACCATAGGTTTTCCCACTTGGGCCTGGTCAACGGAGCCAGTCCCTTTTAATTAACCTTAATTTTCTGTTTGCAATAAGGCAATGACAAGGCTAGCTCACTAGCTAGCGACAGGCCAAACAGACACCATTTTCGTCGACTCAAGAACGTTAACCACCGCCAGGTTCTCTATACTCCACTCCTTCTGCAACATTTTTCCTGTCCTGCATTCAGTCAGAATTGTAGTGTTTCTTTTTTCTTTGGGAAGAGGAAGGGAGTGCAAGAGTTGACCTCTCTCGACTTATGTCTTGCCACATTATTTGGTCTTAAAATGTGGTACAAAAATGTGGTCTCCATTATTATTCATAAGCTTATTTGAGGGTAATTGGGCGTATTCGTTCTCATCTTACAACACGATTCCGTGATTTCTACATGACCGCATACTTTCAGAGGAAGATTGTATACTCTTTGCACTTAATTAGTATAGTTACAAAAAGATGCCATGATAGGAGCTAAATGAGTATCAACAGATGCAGGTGACCCAACAGGGTTTTGAGCATTTTCTGTAGTACCAGCAGTTTTCATGGCAACAACCATTTTATATCAAGATTGGACGCGTGAGAAATTTTTTTTTTTTTAAAAAAAAAGTCATAGAAAAAGCATTCAAGTTTTAAATTGAATCTACACTGTGGTGGGAAAAAGTAGGGAAATGAATCTCCATTATTTGTTGCTACCCTTTTCATAAATACATGTGATATAATCACTTTCCAGTCTTATAGCTATATCCATAGTTGACTGTCTAAGATGCAAAGAATTTGTAGCTCAAGTGGTTAAGAGTATTTATTCCTGCACCTGAGGTTTTAGGTTTGATTCCCCCTCTCCTAATATCATTTTTATCAAAAAATAATAATATTAATTGACTGTACGTCTAAGATATTGTGATTTACAATGGCACCGGAACTTGATAATAATCTCTTTGAACTTGATGATTTCTTTTTGAGGCTCAGTCGCTTAATCCATTTTGGGTACTCAAATGAATGTATGGGTTGCTTTATATAAACTCCTCCATGAAGCAATGTGATGAAGCAATGACTGATCTCTATTGGATGCTCATGCGCTTCATCTGTAAAAAAGAAATTAAGTAAATTTATTTCATTATGGCTATTATTTTTTAAGGAAATTTGTCAACGCGCTTAACAGTCTAAACTGTGAGGTGCATGAGTAAATACTCTTAATTGATTTTTCCCTTTTCCCTTTTGTGAAAGACGACATCGTTTTATTGAAAGATTAAAACGAGTAGCGATCAACGAGAAGAACATGAGTTTACATATAGAGGCTCCTAAAATAAATGAATAAAACATATCATGATCTGAAAATAAACCCAACTTAGCCAAACGATGAGTCACAACATTGACCGTTTGGCGAACATGAAAGCAATCTTTTATTTGCATTGGTGCTACAAATCTAATAAGGACTCAAGAATTTTTATTTTCTTCAGCAGCATTAATCACTCGACAAATTTGATAAAAACTACGGAGTAAAAAAAAAAAAAAAAAAACAAGCAATTAACGTCTGTAAATAAATTTACCTTGCATCCATCCCAGCTAGGAAAATGTTACAAAACCAATCCCCTCGTGCATCAATTTCTCCCATGCCACCCATTTCTATAATGGAATAAGTTTCTTTCACTAATTTTAATCGTTTCCGAATTTTCTTTTTCCTTTCCTTTTTCCTCTCTTTTTTTTTCGTGACCATCCCACTTAAAACTTGAAAATTGGCTCTCGAGTTCTAAACTAGTAACTAGATTATATGAGCAAAATATGACTTGTATCTAACAGGTTGGGGGTGACATTTATAACAAATTTGAGCGATAAAATTGATGCCGAAATTAAATAAGTCTATTTAGATACATACAAATCTTTCACGGATTTCACCTGAAATTACGGAGACCACGTACATAGCAGTTACATAAACCGAACACTAGTTGGAAAGGGAACAGCCTATGACATGTATCAATTTTCACGTCATTCACGTGATGGAATATTCTGGACTAACCTGTGGACGACATCTTCCGGACCCAAAAAAACCTGGAGACAATATCATTAGTAAGCCCAAATCCATGACAATATTTATGAGTAGGCCCAATAGTTATGCCGGCAATCTTTTTTGGTCCCAAAATGAAGAAAAGCCCACTTGAACAGTTGAACCCAGCACAATCAAATACATTACTTGACATTGAAATCATTCCGAACGAATCAAAACCAGCTGCTTTATAATCAGCGCAGATGCGGGAGGAGGAGGAGACTCTGGAGAGTGGAGGAAGTGGTGGTCGCGGTGGGTCCCGCTCTCACTTGTTGTGGGCCGCTGCCAGCGCGGCCCAGTTGGGTTGGGCGGTGGTGTCGTCCCGGAGAGGTTGCGCCGGAAATTCCACGACGATGCCTTTCAAGGCCTTTGCCGTTGCGTCCCTCTACGTCGGCTCCATCGCCACCGCGGGCGTCGCTGGCCTGCAAGCCTCTGGAATCCGCAAGGTTAGCTCTCATCTTTCTCTCTCTCTCTCTCTCTCTCTCTCTCTCTGTGTCTCAGATTCTTAGGGGTATATCAGTCACTTCGGGAAATGTTTTCACTGTGAGTGAAGCACTGCAATTTGCTACAAGTTGTATCAGTGTGGCATGTATCTGTGTTTTGTATTTCTTGTGTAATTACAATTACGTCCCCCTGATTGGATGGTATTTGCAAATATATACGCCCTTGTCTTGCTTTCCTTATTTGTCTGTTTTTCTATATTTGGCATTTGCAAATATTCAGAATTTCATTTGTCAAATTTTAATATTAATAATAAGCAATTAAGCAAAATGATTGTGAATAACAGTTTTACTGAATAACAGAAGTGTAAGGTTCTGTTCATTTTGAACTTTGAAGTGAAGGATTAGTCTGATTGCTTGGGGAAAAAAAACCCAGAAAAAGAAGTCGATGACAAGTAGATTGCATTTTTGGGTAATGGGAAGGTAGTGTTATAGAGACAAATGTTGTCTTTCTGAAAAGAACATTTTGGTGAAGAAAGGAGTATAAGGGAATTGGGCTCTGTCATGTGGTGCATTGAGTTTACTGTGACGAATGATATGAGCATTTTTTTCCCTTGTGGGCTCTTTTTGAATGGATAGCTAGTCCAGCAATCCTTCTCTCTTTTAGACTTAGTTTCCTTTTTATCAGTTTTAAGATGTTTTGGATTTGGGGTATACCTCTCATGTACCTACAATTGCTCTTCCTTTTGTGTTCTTATGGTTCTGAGACTTTTCTCCATCCGCTATTCGTCGTCTTCTTCCTTTCAGATATTTTGATGGAGGAGGGAGAGGTCGGGTTTGGTACAACTTATATCTTAGCTAGAGTGTGGACCTCTTAACTTGAGCTACTCTCGAGACTGGATACCGACTATGGTACAGTTTATCATTGAGCCTTTGAGCCGAATTCATGATGTTTTAACTTAGCCAGGTTTGTTGCTGAATTTATTAGCTTTTGTTAGTGGTTTTGTGGAGTAGATCCTTTAAACTGTTTATCCCTTTTTCTCTTTGAACTCACGGCCATTTTAGTCCCCGCATTACCTAAGTTTAGACCTATTGTAAGTTTGCCAAGTTTAGACCTTTTTCAGCCCTCAACCCTGATCTGAATAGGTTTCCTAGTTGCAATACCGAGAGTGGAACAACTTATCAGGTTTGATATCTAAGACTGTTCGGTCCTGATTCTATCTGCAACTTGTTTTACCTTTTCTCAAAAACATGGACACTACTTAGTAATTAATGAAGGTGTCCTAAAAGAGCTGAGATAACACCTTAACGTCTTATATAAATCTTTACTGTCTAAAGATGGGAAAATTGATCATATAGGTAGATATCCAGTATAAAGTCTAGGAAATTACCAACTAGCCTTTGATTCAATGGGAGTTGTCTCCACTTAGTTCAACGAGGTCTCATGTTAGACTCACATGAATGCAAGGATGATATATATTTGTGGTGAGTTAGATACCTAATTGTAGCTAGCCCATTGCAGTGGTGTAGCTTTGTCGTGGGTGAATTATCAGCCCCATTGTTAATGTAGATTTGTAAATATCCTGTCATTTAGGTTGTTGTGATGTGTACCTCAAATGATACATGTACTCAGGCTGTAAGTTGTTTTACAGGTGGAGGATCTAGTAGAGCTGGGTGCAAACATAAGAACTGGACTTGGGGTACCTCAGAGGACAAGAGACGAATAACCTTTCATTGTTTGGTTGTAAGATTTTCATCTCGAAAATATTTTTATTTTTTTCAATTGATCACTCTTTTCCATTTGTAAGATGAAGTTACCAAACTCATTGAGAATTATCCATTATCTCACCACATTAATGTTCTATTTATAAATAATAAAAAAACGTATCTAAGAAAATATTTATCAAAGGAAAAGATGGATTTGGTGCAACAAAAGCATTGGTATGCCCAAGACACAATGGCCAGAACATATGACACAACACCCATGTCGTGCTTAACACAATAAGAAAACAAAGTGAGTGGGTCTGACGTGAATTCTACATGGTTTTATGATTTAATGACCACAATATATAAGAGAAATATATATGACTCATTTTACATCTAATTATTTATGTTAATATCAAGTGAACTTGACTTGTAATACGCACGAAAAAGTTCAATATCTCTAGGACGAGACGGGGCTCTATCAAGAGCAACGACGAACGAACCCTTATGTGTAGAGATCGCCTAATATTCTAGGGCTTAGTTGTTTTTTCTCTTCTAAATGACCTTATGAATGAATTATTGAGAAAAGTTGACCTGTTTTGCAAATACTAGAAAGTTAGATAAAATAACAAGTAGTAGAAAAAGAAGACAAAATAAAAAAGAGCCGATGAAAGGGTTTTTGGGGTTCAGTCCTTCTCTCCGTCCGTTTGCAATCTCCACAGGCAGCGCAACCTCCCACTCTATTTCATTTCCCTAACCAGGTAACCCTAATTCTAAATCCCTAACCTGGAAGTATAAACATATTTGCATACATAGTTGTCCATATGTATATATTGCGTGATGTGTGCATATAGCCATATAGCTCAGTATGAGTCTGCGAAGGTTAGCGAGCTCACTTTATCTGAAAAGAAGTTACATTTTTCTCCTTTATTTGCGGTTTTCAACTGTGTTCGATTTATGAGAATTCCTGAAATTAGAAGAAGTGAAATTTCTGAGAAAGAATTTACAGGAACTGGAATAGTTTGCTGAAGTTTTGGACTATTTATTTGGCATGAGAGTTATTGCATGAATTAAACTAATCTTTCTGTGCTCTTTGGTTTTATCTTTTAATCGGGTTTGGGGTGTGCTTGTAATTGTTTAATTCAACATAGATAATTTGTAATTGAGCTCAGGGCCTCAGGGTGAGGTAATCATGGTTAAAAATGAAAATTTAAAACTTTTTAATCACACCCAGACTCTTCCTCTTGACAGGGAGGAGAAGGCTAGGTTTTCCCATTTTAAAAAAAATGGCGGCACCAACTCAAGAAGAAGGAAGAACACGAAAGAAATTTCGGAAGGAATTTCCAGGTCCAGCCTCTTCTTCTCGACTTAAAGTTAGACGGATTGGTTAACTTGAGTTGTGCTGAATTCACTGTTGCCTAAGAAGTAGTTTATTTTAAAGTTGGGCTTTTAAGGTTAACATCTGGCTTTTGCTCATTGAGTGCTCTGGTAGCGTGAACATTGGTGTATTAGTGTTCCGTTATTAAGTGTATCATTTCTGTTTTATCCATTGTAGGTAGATGGCTAGATGGGATGAGATTCTGTCCCTTCCTGTTCAGAGTCCACCAACACTGGAGTTTTCTTCTGCTGATATTGTGTGGTCAAAGGTGGAAGGTTGGCGTGACAATAAAGATAGAGTTGCTCTAATTCCATTTGCTAGAGTTGATGATTTTTTGAGGGGTGAATCCGCGAACAAAGAATGTCCAACAAGATTTCATGTTGAAGCAAGGAGGCGGCGGCAGGCAAAGACGCCTTACAAACCAAAGGTTGATGGTGTTCTTGAATATATTCTGTAAGTTCCACATTTTTTCCTCT